TGGGCAGGGGGAGGGCTGCTTTGTCTCCTCCCTCTTGTCCCTCCCTGGCACTGTCACCCAGCCACTTCCAGAGGGGACTACGTGTGCTCTGCCCATGCCCATGCCAGCCTCCCTCCTGCCCCACCGTGTGTTTGTCAGGGGACTTGATTCTGTGCCATTTGAAATAACTCTATTTTTATAGGACCTACCAAAACATATCAAGCTCTCCTAGTTCACACCCAGCCTCCTTCACCCCTGCCACAGGGCAGCTTGCCCTCAGTGCCTTCCCATGCCCTTGCCCCTGGCATCCCTCTCTTCCCCCCAAAAAAAACCAGCCTCGCCAATGCCCCTGTGATGCCCATTCTGCCAGGGGAGAGGGGCACGGTGCTGGGGGTGCCAGGTGGGGACACACTGGGGACACCCCCTGGGGTAGGCAGAGATGGGGGGCCCAGCTGCGGCCCCAGAGGGGTCAAACCAAAGGAAAAGCCTGGCCGTGCCCAGCTCTGGCTTGGTCGCTCCCCCCGCTCCAGAGGGGGATTTTTGTACTTTATTTCGGTTGTGTCCCATTCCCAGAGCCTGGCTTGCCTGTGTATCACCCAGAAACACCGATTAAAAACAAGCCCGTGGCTATGGGTTTTTTTCAGAGCTGAGTCTGCGTGGCCAGAGCAGGGTTGGGGGCCGCCTGCCCCACTCCTGCATCGCCAGCATTGCCACCTCCTTGGGTCGTGCTGCAGGTGGCGCTGGCCCTTGCGCTGTCCGGCTGTGCTGAGACTGGCCACAGCTCAGTGCAGGAATGAGCCATCCACCTCATACAAAGCATGGGATGCCTCCTTGAAGTAGGGGTGCAACATCACTCGGGGGGGGCTCCAGGCACCCGCACCACCAGCTCCATGGGCTCCTTAGCTTTGTTGCGGTAGGCCTGGCGGATGATGTCCACAGCCCGCTGGTGGGTGACGTTCTGCAGGCTCTCCCCGTCCACCGACACCAGCTCCTGCCCAGCCTGGGTCCCGCAAGAGAAACAGTGGGGTGAAGTGCAGCTGCTTTTGGGGTTCCAAGGTGCTGCCAGGACCCAGCAGAACCATGGGATGGAGATGTCTGGATGCAAGCCCACCCTCTAGGGTGCAGTAGGTCTCCCCAAGGTCCCCCTGTACCTTGAGGACACCGCTGAGGAAGGCAGCTCCCCCAGGGAAGATCTTCTCGATCTTCACCACTGGCTGCGCCCTTGACTCGATGCCGCCGGAGATGCTGATCCCTGTGAGGGAGCTGTCAGACCCGTGCACCCAGGTAGGCTGGGACGCCCACTCATTCCTGGGCCTGGCACCCCATCCCCTGGGCAGCTGTGCCTCTGTCCTGCCCTGTTTTGGTGGGTCCTACCCAGATGAGTAGCTGGGGCAGGGTCAGCTCCTCTTCTCCCCATCTAATTTTGGATAAGTTCTCAAGACTTTTTCCCCTGTCCACCCCAAATGGGGTGTCCCTTGCCAAGACGTCCCACCCATCCCAGTGATGCTAGTGCCAGGATGGGGGTCCCCACCTCACCCCCACCCCACCATTGGGGTCTCACCCATTTGCCACCCACCCAGCGAGTGCTTCAGCTTGGAGAGGGTGACGGTTAGCAGCTGGTACTCCTCCTCCTCCTCCTCTTCCTCCCCGCCAGCATCCCCAGGGCCATTGGCGGGCTGCCGCCTCCCCCGCC